TTATTATACCCAATTTGTCTGCATTTAACAAAATAAAATGCAGTAATAATTTTGGCACATTAATGGATCAACAGAAATTAAAATATAATTATATACCGGCAATTATTATATTTCTGTATATAAACGTTTTCTTCCAGATGATCATCTGAAAAGGTCATCGTCATCATATTCATCAAGTATTAGGCCAAGTGACCTGTTACGGTTTCATTCCATCTTTTTAATGGTCTTCCCAGGCTTCTCTTTATCTGATATTCGACAAGAATTAGGGACGAATCCTGGTCTGGAAGTCAGGTCGTGAGGAAATTCAACTCACCAAACATTCGCAACACATTGCTAAGGTACTTTAATAATTATATTGCTGTTATGTAAAACAGTAAACATCTATTTTATATTCGTCCAGCCAGACCGGAGCATTCGCCGCTAGTTAGAAGGGTTTAAGCCAATCGTAATTCCTAATGATGTAAGCTCTTATCTACGATCACGAAATAAATATACAAAACTGTATTTTCCCCTGAACTTGGTTTGGCGCTCTGAGGAAAGAATTATGCTTGTGGATTGAAGTTGTTTCAGTACGTGCTGAGGAGGATATGTGGGCCTTAAAAGAAGTCTGCAGAATGTTATATAGTAGGAATATTAATAATTCATACTCGTCATAAAATATTATTAGAATGATCATACCAGGGGACGAGACGTTTGGGGCACTTAGCACGCATGGGACTGAACAAAGAAAAAATATTTTTTTTGGAAATCTGAAGGGAGAAGTGCATTTGAGCGACGGCTCAGAAGGGACATTAAATAAGACAGAGTGTGAGGATGTGTAAAGGATTCTACTGGCTCAGGATAGGGACTGGTATCGGGATTTTGTTAATATAGTAATGGACTTTAGGTTTGCATAAAGGACTGAGAATTTACTGATTAGCGGAGCGACTATTGGCTTCTCAAGGACACTGCTCCGTGGAGCTAAATAAGTACAAAGGAGATGAATTAAAGCAGTGGTCGACGAACTGCAATTTGAAAATCACTTCTCTAAGTAGTGATAACTAATTTAAGATATTACTAAACAAACACTGCTCCAAACAATGCTAGACTGATCTGGTCATTAATACAGGACTGAGAGATCCAATCCTCCCTCCTTACAACACCCGACATGTTCGTTCTTGAAGCGTCTCATCCTTCTACCGCCCGCCTGCACGCGCATCAAATTAGGAAAAGGTTGCTGGCATTTTCGGCGTACTAAGAGTAATTACTTTAATTAACAAAATGGGTTCTCAAGGTGCGGTATGTGTGTATGGCTAGAAAAGGATGAGGGTGGGGAATGGTTTAGGAGATGTGTGCCGAGAAAGGGCTGGAAATAGGGGTTGGCTTAGGTGTGAGTAAAAGTGGTGAATAGGACAAGTTAAGGAAACCGAGGCTAAGTTCTGTGCGGTACTGTCTCCCTCCCACCCCCCCC